CTCTGCTCCTAGACTGAAAAGTTAATCACTTCCTTCCTTGCTATAAAATGTCTACCTTTACATTTCCAACCCTCACAATCAGTCCTGATAACAATTATTCACTATTGTATCACAAGAGAGCCATCTGCATTTCATTGCATCAACTCCGCCTAGGCAGATTGGATGCTACTCACTGGAGATTTTGCCTTTCTCCAGGTTCCCTGTCTCTAGGGTCCCTCTTGAAAGCTTGTAAGCCAGTCACTTCTTGCCTTTGTAGCCCTACCCCCCATTTTGGGTAGCCTCATTGGCTGATTTTTGAAATTAGATTCTCCAGAACTTGTTTCTTAGTTCATCTTAGTCTGGAAGTTCTGCTGAAAGTTCGGCATCATAGCATCATGCAAGTCTCCCCTGAGGGAAGCGTGGTGGCTGCGCTATAAGATGCATTTGCCAGGAACTGAATGCAGGCCTCCTGTGTGGGAGGTCAGAGTTCTACTATTGGACCACACTTGCCCCACAATTAGATGGAAAGTAACTACAAAATAATAGATCAGGTTCCTGGCATTTAATTGGAAAAAAGCAAAAAGGCAGTGGTTGTTCCAAGTGGACTCAGGGCTTTCCTGAACCTCAGATTCTGAATTTTCATATCATAAATTAATGCCAGGTGGTCCTATATTTAATTTAACAAGTAGTTGTTGAGTGACACTGTTAGTCGTGACTGTGGTTGAACTTTTAGAGTGCTTTATTATAGTGTGATTGCTGTTGCTAAGTGCTGTTGAATCGATTCCAACTCATAGCCATTGTGTATAGGGTTTCTGAGGAGCAGCAGCTGGTGAGCTTGAACTGCTGACTTTGTGGTTTGCAGTCCAGTGCTAATCCTATAGAGCCACACCAGGAGTGAAACCATTCCAGCTTCATTTTAGTGTGGTGGTGGTGGTGGTTATGTGCCACAGAGCTGGTTCTGACTCATAGTGATCCTGTATAGGGTTTCTGAGGCTGTAAATCTTTATGGGAGCAGAAACTCTCATCTTTCTCCTGCATTTGGTGTAGCTGGAATATAATATGGTTTTCTGTGGTCTGGTCCCTGTGTACATTCAAAAACCACAGTTCAAATACAAACACAATTAAAATCTTTGTGAGAAAAAAGGCAAATTCATGCATGAGAAAACACAGAAAGGATTTTCTTACTTGTAAATCCTTCAAGTGCTCCTTTTCATCACTCTCAGTATCTTCCAACCCTCCTGGGAATCTTCTGTCAAAAGTCAACAGATGCAGTTCTCTACCCTCCCCCACCCCCCACCCTCCCTTCCCTTCTCCCATCTTAATTCTTTTTACTTTATCAGTGGTAAATTTCAGCCATTTCCAGTGCAAATCTAGACTTGTCAGTTTCTTTCTGCTCATTGACCTGTTTCTGTTCACAACAACCTGGGGCTAGCTACCAAGGGCAGGCTTCCCTTAGAGGCCAGGGAGGGGACAGTATACAGGGACATATAGGATGATGGGGGAGATGAAGAGCACTCATAATGATAATTTGTCCTTGTTAACATTCAAATCGCTCTTCAAACATGCATGCTGATGCTTATGCCCTGGCAATTCTAAAAGGAAATATCCTTTTCTTCCTTAGACTTTCCCTCCTATACTCTCTTTCACTCCCACCTGTTGGGCTTTTATCAAAACAAGTGATACCAGTTTTCTTTTGGGAAACATAATAACAGCTGGTACATTACAATCTGCAAAGTGTCTTAAGTACCAGATCTCATTTAATCCTCTCTACAGGATTAAATGTGGGAATAGTGTTTATCTGTGTCATTGACTCTCCCTCCCTCCTTCTCTCTCTTTAGCAGGGCCTGGGAGCGACCCTTGCGTCCAGTCTCCAGAGCAGTCATCGTCCGGTGGTTTAAGGAGGAGCAGCTGCCCCGCCGAGCTGGCTTTGAGAGGAACACCACTTCCATCGCCCCCTGGTTTCATGGTTGGACTGCTTTCTGAGCACTGGGGAAGATAGTTCCATGTTGTTACCTTGGTCATGATTGGGCAGGAGATCCTAAAGGACTGTGATAATTGGGAGAGTAGATCTACTTTTGAAAAATCAGCCATTGAAAACCCCATGGAGCACAGTTATACTTTAATATACACGGGATCAACATGAGTCAGAATCAACTCAAAAGTAACTGGTCAGAGAGCTATAGATTCTGAACTTCCTTCACTCTGTCCCACCACTCCACAGAGTCTGGAAATTCTCCCAGATCCTAGCAACAGCCTGCCACACAGCAGGCTCTAACCCATTTCTTGTGATTTGGTGCCAGAATGGTTGAATAAAGGAGTCAGAACCATCCAAGTGTAGGACCCTGGAGCTTGGAGACTTCTCAGAAGTCATCTGGTCCAATAGCTTCATTTTATAAAGATAGCTGCAGCTCCATGAGGAGAGGATGTTTTCAAAAGGCCAATAGAAACTTCCACAGTTGAGATTAACGATGCGTCTCTAGGCTCATGCTCCAGGACAGTGATTTGAGCATGCAGGGACTTCAACCAGGGTTCAGGCTTGGGGCTTCTTCAGCAGAGACTTGCTGTAGGGAAATAGGAGCGGCTGCTGCTGGTCACCAAAACCCTTTGTATCAATTAGCTATTGCTATGTAACAAATCACCTATGTAACAAATTTGTTCTTAAAACAAATACCCATTTACTATTTGTTCACAAGTTTATGTATCAGCTGGAGAGGGCTTCTGGTCTGGGCCAGGTTCAGACAATGTTTGCTGGGACTGCTTATGCATCAGTGGACTGCTGGAAGGTTGGCTTGGGGCTGATTTCTCTAGGTGGCCTTCCCTGAGACAGATAGCCTCAGCTCTGTATAGTATCTTCCAGAAAACTGTTCTGATCCCTCCCAATGTTAATTTTTTTCTATATAAGTTACATCCTCTGGATGAGCCTGGCCTTGTTCTCTCAGTCTCCCCTCTCATCATAGTTTAGCTCAGTTTTGCCTGGCGAGTCCTTTGTTTGGAGTTTAGCTCACCTGCCCTTGTAGCCATCCATCTGACCCTCACCTGTCTCTGTTTACCTTCTGCAGATCTCTTGGTACTTTGGCCAAGCTCTACTTTTGCTTATCTTTTTACTGCACATGACTTGGTGATATTAGCTGCCCTCCCTGCTTCCTGTCAGCATCTGTGTGCTCTCCATCCCATTCAGTAAAGATGAGTTCTGTGTCATGGCAGATACTAGAGCTTGAGGGTCAGAAGGTGGTTGGGCAGATAGAGGCCCTCATGGATGAGTTCTGGAAATGGCTCTGGCTCCAGAAAAGACAGTGTAAGCAAAACCATCTAAACTATGAGATGAAGTGCGGGCCATAGCCACACTTTCCAGATGGTTGAGACATAATATTGTTAAGGGTTTCCCCATGGTCACAGAGGTGTGGCATCACCTTGTCCAGGCTACAGGAGTATCCTAGTGGGTCTGCTCTAATTCATCTTCCATACGGTATTCCACAGATTATGTAAATAAATCAGATCCTGTCACTCTTGATCCTAGCAGCTCAGTGACCTTGGGCATGACTTTGAAATTCTTCATTTGTAAAATTGGAATTCTAACATCCTCCTCACAGAATTCTTACGAAGATTCAGACAAGAAAAGTACATTGTCTGCCATACAGGGTCATATCCATGGAAGTGCTGATATCTCCTAGAGTCTTAGGTCAACCACAGAAATCCCACCTCCTTTAGGAAACAGTTCTGTTTCCTAAAGATAATGGTTTCCTACCAGAATGACGGGAGTCCTAGTGTGGTGCTGTGGGTTCATATGCTGAACTGCAAAGTTGGTTTCAACTGCAAGGTCGGTGGCTCAAGCTCACCAGCTGCGCCTTGGAAAACTTATACAGGGTCACTATGGGTAGGAACCAACTTGGCACTTAACAACAACAACTAGAATGACAGGGTTCTTGAAAATGTCTCTTCTGTAGAAAAGAGTGATGGTAAAGTAACTCCTTGTTTCCCTTCACCTATTGTTATGTTTCAGGCATTATAAGGGAAATTTCTACGTATACATATGCACCCTGGAGAAAAATTAGTACAAATAGCCTGGTTTGGGGGAAAAAAAATCTGTTTTTGAAGTCCTGCACGAATCTAAAGTTATTAAGAATCTCTTTTGTCTGAACATTGCCTTTTTGGAATCCTGTTCTCTTCCTGAGCTCTGCTTCTATAAAACAGTCACAATGAGTTCCCTGGTCTTTTGTCTTAGCAGCAATCCTTTGACTGTCTTGTAACTTGTTCTCAGGGCTTGGCACAGAATGGGACAAACAATGGATAATGTAGTTGGCATTGGTGATTAATCCTGAGAGACACTGTACCTGTGTTGGCAACGAGTCTCATTTGGGTTTGCGTGGGGTCAGCTGCCCATGCATGGGCTGTTATTGGCATGTATTTTTTTTTTTTTTTTTCTGACAAGCATATAGGAGGGTCTGGTAGGAGGAGACTGTCCCCATTTTGTAGACAATGTAGTTTGCAGAGAGTCCAGCCATCAGGGTGGATTTCTCCACGTAAAGCAAGAACTCCAAAGAGGATGGTGCACTGCCTTCAACTCTTCTATAGTGTAACTTTTATCCCAGCATGCTTAGAGGAGATGACTGAGCATGTCATCTGAATTAGTTATGCTTGTGTTAGAAAAGAGAAACCTTGGGCTGGGGTGGATAGGAATACAGAGCTGTCACCTTTCACTCTCTGGAGTCCTGCCTTGAGAAAGAAGGTAGAACCTGGGCCAAGGGCTGGGAGTTCTGATGAGACACACTTCACTTCAACATAAGAAAGAACTATCTGATGGTTACAGCTTGCTATAAAGCAACCTTACTAGTTAGTGAACTGCCCATGCTGGGAAATGGGCAACCTTTAAATTCTTTGCCTTCAGTGTCTGTGAACAATGTGATTCTGAGGGCTTTGTTTCAAGACCACCAGCTCTGCCATTGAAAACCCTGTGAAGCACAATCCTGCTTTGACACACATGCAATTGGCAAGAGTTGGAATCAACTAGAGGGAAATAGATTATTAAGAAAGGTAGTTGAGACAATATGCAGAACTTCTGACAACTAGTCTTGGAGATTATTTTCAAGGAGGGAAATTGGGGCAAATGGGTACCTTTACTGGATTTATAATCCCTTACTGATGTAGCACTGGACTGCTAGACACAGAGCCAGCAGTTCAAACCTACCAGCTGCTCCTTGGAAACTCTAAACAGGATCACTATGAGGCAGAATCGACTCAATAGCATGGAACAACAATGACAACTGAATGTAAAGGATTGTAAAAAATCCTGGTGTGGCTCTGTAGGATAAGCACTGGACTGCTAACCAGAAGGCTGGTGGTTTAAACCCACCAGTTGCTCTTTGGAAACCCTATACAGGATCCTTATGAGTCAAAATCGACTAGAAGGCACTTAACAACAAATTTCTAAGCACCAATAAGACTGCTAGAATGAAGATTACACACAGTGACACCAACCACTCTGTGAGCGTTACGTTCATTCAGTATGATTGAACCATACATATGAGACACACACTTTCAGCAAATGGAAGCCTTTATTATGAAGAATAAAAAGCAAACAGTGAATAACAGGCAACTAGTAAATAGTAGAAACAGCTCTATGGTGAACTGGCCTTGCCCCCTTACATGTGACTGACTTTACAGGAGAGGAATTTGCTTCTTTCTCAAAGGTAGCTCCTTATATTTATAGATGCAGTGAAAGCTTTGAGAAATAAATGCAGACCCTTTTGTTTGTTTTTTTTTTAGCTCGTTCCACTTGTACTTCTGTGTCTTGCTTGTTTAATATCTTCTATCTCGCAAAAGAGATTGACTCAATTTATTTTCTCACAGTTTAGAAAGCTAGAAGTCCAAGTTCGAGGTGCTAGCTCTAGGGGAAATCTTTCTCTGCCTGCTTGGGAGACAAGTTTACTACTTCAGCATCTTCTTCCTGTTTACTCAAAGAGTGCCATGTGTCTTGGTCTTTATCTTACCTATCATCTCAGAGCTTCTCCCTTGTTTAATCTCTTTTATATTTCAAATAGACTGATTCATCTCTGGACCTGGGAGCTCAGGACCATAGACTCAGGGCTATCAAGGTCCATTGGCATAATATACACTACAAAGACAGTGTTCTACATCCTATTTTGGTGAGTAATGAACAGAGTCTTAAAAGCTTGTGAGTGATTAACTAAGGCACAACTACTGGTCTCTCCCTGTCCAAGCAAGGAAGAGTGAAGAAAATTAAAGATGCATGGAAACAGAGTCCAAAGGACTAATGGCCTAGCCTCCATGACTCCGAGACCGGAAGAACTTGATAGTGCCTAGCTACCACTGCTGCGGGCTACCACTGGTTCAGGCTGTGAACCGCAAGGTCAGCAGTTTGAAACTACCAGCTGTTCTGTGGGAGAAAAATGAGGCTTTCTGCTCCCATAAAGATTTAGAGCCTCAGAAACCCTGTACAGGGTCACTATGAATCAGAACTGACTCCACGGCACATAACAACAAAAACAAGCTACCACTGCTGACCCCTCTGAAAAGGCTTACAATAGGAGGTCTTAGATAGTGGGAAAAAAATATGGAACAAAATTCAATATAGTGAAAAAGACCAGGCTTACTGATCTGAGCAAGATTGGTGCAATCCCTGAGATGATCCTAAGACACTCTCTAAGCCAGGAACTGAATTCACCTCTGTGGTTCAACTTTCAGCCAAACAATAGAGAGGCCTATAAGGTGAACAGTAATACTAGAGACTTAGGAACTCCTTAAAATAATCAACCACAGGCGATCAAAAGGGCAGCATTTACGCAGGGATAAAACATAGAAGGCAGGAAGGGACAGGGCATAGAAAGAGTATAGGGAGGAAGTGGGAAGAATGCTGTTATACTGTACATATTTCAATCAACATTGTGAAACAAATGTGTATGAATTGTCGAATATAAAATCAACTTTCACTCAAATCACAATAAAATA